ATTGGTATTAATAAAGTCGATGTTGTCATCCTTACCTATTTTTTACCTTTCTATTTTTAAGATGCCTTCTTCTATTTGTCAGAGGTTAAATTCATTGATGTCGGATTTTTTATTGGGGAGTAGGGCGACAAGAAGAGAATGCACTGGGTGCGCTGGGACTATGTATGCAAGCCGTTGAGTGGAGGAGGATTGGGAGTGGTGGATTTGAAGGTTACAAATCGAGCGTTATTGGGCAAGTGGGTTTGGAAGTTTGCCAATGACAAGAATTCGATGTGGAAGAAACTATTATGCAGCAAACACAATGTGAGCTATCAATCCATGGATATTAATAGAGCTTGCTTTCGTAAAGACTCTTGGATATGGAGGGGAATTGTGAATAACTATTTTAAGGAGTATGTTATTGGAGGTTGTCTTAGATCTCATGCTAAGCTTCAAATAGGTAATGGTAAATCTATTTCTTTTTGGAGTGATACGTGATAGGGGATTTCCCTTTAAAACTTCGGTTTCCTAGAATGTATGCCCTTTCTTCAGATAAATTGGGTAAGGTAGCTGATTTTGGGAGTTTCGTTTTGTCTGGATGGGTTTGGAATATCAAGACCAGGAGGAACCTTTGTGATTGGGAGGTTGAGCAGTTCGTTGAGTTGTTGGACACCATAAAAAATATTAAACTAATGGAGCCTTTGGAAGACTGTTTGTTGTGGGTTGGTTCGGGTGATGGGCAGTTTTCTGTTAAAGCATGCAGGAATGCTCTGTCTGTTCCTCTTAAGGACTCAGTTCAGTGGGAAAAAGTCGTCTGGCAGGGTTTAGTTCCTCCTCGAGTGGAGACTTTCCTTTGGCAATTGTCACATCAAAAGTAACTGTGAGAGTGGAGTTGTTGAGCAGGGGGTTGATTTAGGGGAGAACATTCTCTGCCCGTTGTGTAATCAAGGGGTTGAATCTATTCAGCATCTATTTATTCATTGTCCTGTATCCTGTGAACTATGGATGAAAATTATTGGGTATTGGGGTATTCGGCTTGCTCTGCCGCAAGACCCTCCTAATTTACTCAGTTCATGGGCCGAATTGAGGCCATATTCTGCTATATGGAAGTTTATTCCAGGGGCAGTTTTTTGGTCCATTTGGAAGTTAAGGAATGAGATCATCTTCGACAAAGGAAAGTTGGACAGTATCTCTTTGTTTTTCACGGTTCGATTCAGAGTAGCTAAGTGGTTTGTAGCCAAGTATCCACTTTTTTCAACTCAGGTTGATTTCTTAATTGGGGACCCCTCTGTGGCTGACAACCTTTCAGACTCTAAGGTTTTGGACAGTAGTGTGGTCTGCTGGATTCCTCCTCCACTGGATTTCTTTAAGATGAATGTGGACGGGGCGGTGAGTAGTGTGGGGATGGTGGCAGGTATTGGGGGAATTCTAAGGGACTGGAATCGGGTTGTTCTGTCTTCATTTTCAGTAAATGCAGGTCCTAATACTCCTATCCTAGCAGAATTGAAGGCTATCAAGAAAGGTATTGACATCTTTGTTGCATTTATATGGGCTTCGAAGGGTAGGCTCATTATTGAAAGTGATTCAAAGACAGCAGTGGATTGGATTAAAGATAAGAGTTCAGTCCCTATTTACTTGTCTAATTTTGTGAAGAAGATTGCGTCTGCTGTTTCTGGATATCAGTTCATTATCAGGTGGATTCCTAGGTGTTGTAATTGTGAGGCGGACAAGCTAGCGAATGAGGGGATTGGCTGATTGTACTGCTTTTAGTTGGTTTGTATGTCTTTGAGGGGAGGTCTTGCAGGAGTGTATCAAGTCTTATGTATTTTTGTAGGAGTGTTTTAAAATTTTATGTAATTGTATTATCATTAATAAATTGATGTACTCTTTTCCTCCATCCACTAGAGGGTCCTTGCCTTAGGGCAGTGGACTTCTTAGAGGGAGGTTTTTAATGAGGCATCCTATTCCTATAAAAATAAAAAATAAAAAGATACCTATTCACCCTGGGGCATTAATTCTCTTCCCCATTACCCATCGCTTTCTCTTTAGCAGTAAATTTTTTAACCAAGGGTTTTTTCCCTCCCCGAAAGGCGACACCTAATAAATTGCTAGCATTCCAAAGAGCATTTGCCTCGTCCTTCTCCTCCGGCCTACATGGGGAAGAACGAGAAGAAGACTGATCTTCATCACCCGCGACGCTTTTTCCTCTGGATCTACAGTATGCCCTCATGAAAAATCTGCTCTCTCATTACTTCAGAAACACAACTCCCTGCATAACGCCTACGATTTGAGTTAGAAGGAGAAAACTGAGAAGAAATCTGCTTCTGAGAAATAGCGTTGATCTCTTCCAAGCCCTTAGTTTCCTCTGAAAATGGCCCAGACACACTGCAATTATCCTCGCTTCTTCCAGGTGGGTCTAATGAGCTATGCCTCCTCCTCAGCCCAATTCGAGAACCTCTTTTCCCATGCTGATCCAAACCATTCTGATCAGGCCCATCATCTAAAATAGCATAATTACCGGTCCCAAAGGCATTAATGGCCCTCTCTCCCCCCACCGCACGAACCGTTATTTCATCCCTCGACAAAATCTACTTCATGGAGGCTACGTAATCATTGCATTCTTCCCTCTCCCTGTCTCGATCCCCCTGAAACATTAATCTCGCCGACATTCCTCCCGCTGCCACCCGCTGCCACCCGCTGCCACCTATCAGATTATCCTGGAGCCAAGACTCCACCCCTCTTGAGACGATCCCATTGACTAATGAGCTTCCCGACCTTCCTGCCCAGTAAAGTCTTCGATCTGAAAAGAATCCGATGAGCGTTCTTCCGATTCATCCTCCGATTCCTCCTCTATTTCGCTCCTGTTCGATCCGGGGGGAAATTTCTCTACCGTTTCAACTTTGATTTTGATCACATAAGACCTTCCATTCGTATTAATTATGACCGACGGTGGAATATCGAAGGGACTAGCCACACGAAGGAGAAGCTGAGCTACCCGAAAATTCTTTTTTTGAAGCGTCTCCTCCTTTATCTCTACCACTGATCCCCACCTTTCAGCCAAACTTCTAAAAAACACTTCACTCCAACAGTTCAAAGGAACTTCCATCAATGAAACCGAACAAAAGGCTAACGAAACACCCCCGTCTACCGAAATCGGAACTGTCCAGTCAAACCACACTTTTAGATCTTCAATTCTTTCCTCCAAAGCTTTCTTTCTTTCTTCTAACGACGAAAACATAATAATAAAAACACTCTTTGAATAACCCTATCTGGCCACTTTCGCATCAAAGCCATCATTACCAATAGCTTCTTGAATAAACTCCATGTCATACGCATCTTTGAGAATACCTGTTAATGACTTCCTGATCCAATCTCTCTTTTCTAAGGGTATGAAAACGTTCAAACTACTCTTCAGATTCCCAACTCCCCCTATATTCTTACCTTGACGGTCAGCCAGCGAACTTCTAACACCCGTCAGAGAGTCCCTATAAGACCTTCCATCATGAAACCTGTTGAACAACGCCTCTCTGACTTCCAGATTCTTTGAAGGAGCCTTTACCCTTCTCTTCGATCTACCATCAGTAGCAATGGTCGAGTCTTTCTTCAACGGGGACTTCTGGAATTTTGCCACCCTTATTGAAATCTTTCTCCCATCAATCGTCGTGTTATTCATCTCCTGAATAGCATTCAACAGATCCTCCTGACTTTTGAAATGAACAAAAGCGAAAGTGAAGTTTCTGTACCTCGGTCTTCTGTTCACAAGGGAATAAACACCCTGCAAACCTTCCCATGATGCTTAAAACGTTCCCACAAAGCTCTCCTAGAAACTCTTTTGCTAAGGTTATCGATGAAGGTCGACCAGATCATTCCAGTGGGGAATGAACCATCTCCACGACTCTCACTCATTTTTCTACCGGCCTTCTTGTTGCCGTTATTTGAAAACTAAGAATTATCAGTGCACATTCAAGGTACAAAGCAAGAAGGTCATTTTAGAAACCAAGTACACTATGAATAGGAAGTATCATCACGACCAACACAAGCAGAATGGTCCTATTTCTCTCAAACTTACAAATACATATCATCGTGATCTTCTCTAGATGCACTTCGAGTAGGAAAAGTCGTATAGCCAAGATTAAAGACCTGCATTAATTATTCTTCTACTGGTTGGAGTTCCACTTCTGAATTGGAGAGCCTTACATGTTTTGTGATATAGGCTTACACATGGACATGCATCTATTGTGCTTTTAGATTTAGGCACAGTTACCTGTTTATTTACATTACACAAACAATTCTTTTTTAAAATGTATAGCAATCAACACTCTTAAAGGTTTCAGTTTCTTATGGGACTGGTTCGAATCTTGTACATTTATGTGATTTGAAGGAAGAATGCTGATTGTCTTGTGTGACTTGTTCATATGTTCTTGCATAAAGCCTACATGCCATATAAGGCATTCCTCCTTTCATTGTCTTTGGACTATACCAACTTTCACCTCACTGTTATCTTGTTAGGTATGAATTAGAATTTAGTGTGATTGATCACCTCTTGGTGCCATGACAAATTGCATGATTCTTCAATATATTTTCAGTTAGATTCATAAGTGTGATTAGACCTTTTAGATGATCTTGTATTACATTTCTCACAATCGTTAGTAATGACTATGCCTTTTAGGATGTTACTCGATCTTCCAGCTCTAGGCCCCTTTGAAGAGGTCAATTTATGTAAATATATATACATATATAGAATTTGAGCATTATTTCTAATTGATCATTTAATTCACACACAAGTGCTCAATGTCCATCTTTTGAGGGTGATTATGTTTTTCTATGGTTTTTGTATCCTATACACTCGTTGTAAAAGGTATGTGTGGTGCATGTGTTGTGTATTCAATTTTTGAAACCAATTTAGAACCTTAATTTTTATGCAATTTGAATAAAATATATTGTGTATTTTGTTATTTTTCCTTTGGGTTATGCTATTATCCTCATGTCTCTTATCATGTTTGCAACTGATGCTTTTGCAGGTAAGTGAAGAGGTGGAAAGAGCTTTGGCAAAATTAGCTTCCCCAACACTTAATGGAAAGTAAATAATTAATGTCTGATCATATATGATTTAATTATTTATTGTCCTTGCTTTGCAGGGTTGCATTGGTCAAGTAACTGTTTAATTTTGGATGAACTTGAGCATTATTAATGCACGGATACATACTTGATTAAAGCCATACAATATGCTGGGTTTTGCCATGATTTTTACTAGGTTTTTTGTTGGTTATGGTATTCTACTTTTCTTGAATAAGCTCAATCCTTTTACAAGAAGCCTAGTGGGAATTAAGTGTAGTTTGTTTTCTTTTTGCTATTTTTTTAACGAAGAACCAGCGTTTCTTTAGCATTAAGGTCAAGTATGCAAGCTTTTTTTCTTTTCTTTTTTATTAGAAGACTTCTAATGCTTTGGTTTTCAGGTCTTCTCCAAAACGGCTTGAAGGTCCAGATGGAAGAAGCTTACAGCTCCACTTCAGGTCCAGGTTGTCCCTCCCTATTTTCACAGGAGGAAAGGTAGAAGGGGAGCAGGGTGCTGCCATCCATATTGTTATGGTTGACTCCAATACTGGACATGTTGTAACAACAGGACCTGAAGCTTCTGTAAAGGTAGATGTTGTTGTGCTTGAAGGTGATTTCAACAATGAGGATGATGAAGATTGGACACAGGAAGAATTTGAAAGCCATGTGGTAAAAGAGCGTGAAGGAAAAAGACCACTGCTAATGGGAGACTTGCAAGTGACCCTCAAAGAAGGTGTTGGAACATTAGGAGACCTCACTTTTACTGACAATTCAAGTTGGATAAGAAGCAGGAAATTCAGGCTTGGCTTGAAGGTTGCTTCTGGATTCTGTGAGGGCATACGTGTACGGGAAGCTAAGACAGAGGCTATTACTGTCAAGGATCACAGAGGGGAATGTGAGTTAATACTTCTACTCTATCTATTTTCATTTGTGTATTTCCTGCAAAATTTTTAATTATGTTGCTTAACAGTGTATAAGATGCACTACCCACCTGCATTGAATGATGAAGTATGGAGATTGGAAAAGATTGGGAAAGATGGGTCATTTCACAAGAGGCTTAACACTGCAGGAATACTAACTGTTGAAGACTTTTTGCGACTTGTTGTCAGGGATCAGAAAAAGTTACGAAATGTGAGTTTGGATTTTGGTTCCGAAATCAAAAGACTATTCCATTGTAGTTGCATTCTGAGTTTTCTGTATGCTGTGTTTGTAGATTCTGGGAAGTGGCATGTCAAATAAGATGAGGGAAGCTCTTTTAGATCATGCAAAGACTTGTGTGCTGAGTGGGAAGCTCTATGTTTACTATACTGATGATTCAAGAACCAATGGTGTTGTTTTCAATAATATCTACGAGTTGAATGGCCTTATTTCTGGGGAACAGTATTTACCTGCCGATTTTCTATCTGATAGTCAGAAGGTGGGTAGTATTATATGCTTTTTTTGCAATTTCTAATGAAATGCAGCATTGCAATAGTTCTTTTCTCTTTGTAGGTTACCATGTGGGATGCTCTAGCAGCAATGTTTTATAGGTGTAAAGAGATATTTCTTTTTGCAGTATTTCTCATATAGTTTATATATAATTTTATTTTTTGAACATGTTGGTTATAGGGCCTATGTTGCTCCGACTCTTAATTTTTCTTGAAGTACCAGTGCAGTGTCCGACACTAGTGTTTGACTCATATTCAAGCAAGAGTATGGCGATAAACCCTAAAGGACCCTTGAATAAATGGGGAAACTTTTCTTAAAAAACTGAACATACCTGTATGTAACACTCATAGCTGTATCCAACGTGCATACCTGCATCTGACACACATACCCATCCCAAGTTTAGTGTAGGACTGTTCTTTACAATTTAACTTTCTTATGTGCTAAGATAAATTATATACAATAATGATTATCTGCTTTCTTTAGAAGCATTGTGTTTTATTTTTAGCTTTTATTTTCTAATTTAGTAAAATAGTTTCATTAATTTAACAATAGAAAAAAAAATTTCTGCAGGTTTATGTAGATTCAATGGTAAAGAAAGCCTATGACAATTGGAATCATGTCATAGAGTATGATGGCCAATCACTGTTGAACTTTAAGCAAAATAGGAGGTCAAGTGCACGAAATGAATTTCAGTCGGGTGCACTGGATTACCCAAGTGCTGTAGATCATCAGCTGCAGTTACCACGGTTGCCAGTTCCAATTCCTACTGAGCAAGTTTATTCAGGCCTACCAGGCGGAGGTAAGCTTTCAGATTACTGGAAATATTTTGCTTTAAGGAGTTTTCAATCTTGTATATCTATCTTCTTGGGAAATATACCTTAGGGCATGTTTGGTTTGGGGAATGTGGATTCTATTCCCGATGGAATCCACATTCTCCCGTTTGGTTGGTCGGTAATATTCCCGGTAATATTTTATTACCAACAGTGAATTTTTTGAGGTATATTACCGGTAATGTCATTACCCTCTTTCCCTTAGGTATTATTGAATTACTGGCGTTTTGGACTAAAATGTCTTTAATTTTTTTTTTCAAAAATATCATTCTTCTATCATTGAATAATAAAATTCTACGAAGGTTAAATTACAAATTTATCCTTAAACTATTTTAGATTTATAAAAAAAAATCTATAATTAAAATTTTATAACAAGTTTAGGGGTTAAAATAAAATTTTACCCTTTTATTAAATATTTTTATATTATCAATTTTGTAAAAAAAATTATATAAATTTTATGGATTTAAATTTTTAAAGAAAATATATAAATATCTTATAGTAATATTATAGTATAATTCAATTTGTTAAAAAAACAAATATATAATAAGGATAATTTGATCAAATATACATTCTAATAATTTTTTATTCCTTTATCCAAACACGGTAATCTTACATTCCTATTAAACCAACCAAACACAAAATACAACATTCTCAATAAACTTATTTCATGATAATGTTTTATTCACACTGGTAATCTTACATTCCGTGAACCAAACGCATCCTTAATATTATAATTGCGTCTTTAATCATCCCCTTAAAGACTTGGTTTGCTCTGTCCTCACGGATAATCAGTAGTGCCTCTTGTTATATATCGTGGATTCTCGTTTCAGATCTCAAGTCTTGGTACAGCTTTCAGGTTTATAACTACCTTTTCTTCGTTTCGTCCAATCGCAGCTAGTTTTTGAGTAACCTCATTTTCTTTTTATCTCAGGGTATAATGATAAACGGTCCACCAGATACTCGGGGCAGTCCCAGATTGAGAATTCAAATTCTCATAAACAACTTGGCAGCACGCAGTTTGCGCCACACGACCAATTAACTGACAATTATCAGCAACCTCAAGGCTTGAAAAATGATAGCAATGTTGTTGGGCTGGCTCTCGGTCCTCCACAACCTTCTTCCATAGAGTTCCAAAACATTGGTTCTTCAATGCAGCCGTTAAATCCTAATCCATTTGATGATTGGACGAACAACCAGGATAAGGGAGTCGAGGACTTCTTTTCGGAGGAAGAGATTCCTATGAGAAGCAATGAAATGCTCGAGAATGAAGATATGCAGCACCTTCTCCGCCTCTTCAGCATGGGAGGTCCTAACGTGACGGAGGACGGTGGGTATGGATTCCCAAATTACATGCCGTCCCCAATGCCAAACTTCGTAGACGAAGATCGTTCACGTCCTGGAAAAGCTGTTGTCGGGTGGCTGAAGATTAAGGCAGCAATGAGATGGGGGTTCTTTATCCGAAAGAAAGCTGCCGAGAGACGGGCACAGATAGAGGAGCTAGAAGAGGAAGAAGAATAGTTATTGGAGTCTTCTTTGTTTAAGCAGAAAGCCTCTGGTTTCCGAATGGCTTCAAGAACTCCATGAACGCCAGACACAAACTAGAGATGCTTCTTGTACAGCAAGCTGTTTCTTTGACTTCCCTTAATTACCGATGGGGTTTGTGTAATGAATAACTGAGTCTGTGTTGCTTTCAAGTTGATGATGCCTTGTACAAGATTGTAACCATTGTGGCCGTCGTGTAGTTTCCTCTTTCAAATGATGTAATGTACAATTATTTGTAATTTTAGTTTCTTATGTCAATGTTACTATTCCATCTCATAATTCAATGACATCCATCTGTTTATTTTTATTTGATTTCATGTACCTTAAGTTTTGTTATGAATCACATTTTAATTAGGTTTAATATAATTTTTTTGTGGTCGTGGCAATTACGTGTCTTCAACACGTATTCTCTTTAGAAGAAATCGATAAGAACTTCCTTGCAAAATATTTTTTTTTTGTTTGAAGAAACTAAAATAAAAATTCTTCAACTGTTTTTATGGACACATTCCTCTGTATAAAACGATTGAATGTGGATAATATTTTGCTGGTTGGTATGGCTTAATTTCAAAATTTACTTTGTTGTAACAATTGGTATTTTTTTAAGGTTTATTGGCTATTAATATAGACCTTTTCTGTGCCAGATTCGCTTCTTCATTGCAACAGACAATATATTTAATCTCCTCTCGTTTTCAGCACTTTCATATCATTAACAATTCATTTCTCTCATTTTCGAAAATCCTTTATTTTCTTTCTCAACTGTTATTTTTAAATTCCTGATCGTCGTGAAGACTAATATCAACTTTGTCCGCTCTAACATTTTAGGTGCACGAGATTTTAAAGAATCGTGTTAACTTCATGGGACTTCGACCATTGTTGCGATTACATTTATCAGGTCGAATTAGTTTCTAAGATAATGAATCATTACGGCAAGATTTCTTATTCTGATTTATTTAATTGTTTATGTTTTCAATCAGCGTTAACAACTCAACTTTATAGTTATTATTTTTGACATCCTGTATCTTCTCTATCATCTTATATTGAACATATTCCTTCGCATGTCCCTCACGTGAAAGTGCAATCACAAGCTCAGAAAGTGATCCACTGTTGTTTAACTTATTCAGCTCATCTTCATAGATGTAATCCTGAATAACCGGTAAATTAATCGAGTAATAAAAAATGTTTATGTTGTTCAACTCTGTATGGATTCTAATCCTAACATTTACCTAAAAAATATAATATTTTTTTTCAGTCTATTATGTTTTGACTCAAATTCATAATGAGTTCAAATTTTGATGTTGAAAATAAAATAAAATAATTATTTTATAATAAATTTCAAATTCATCATTGTCCTGCATGTTACAATTAACAAGTAAATGATATATGGACAGACAATATGAACCCAATAGTTTAAAATTCTTACAAGTATGGATTCTTATAGTTATACAGTTTAAGGTTTTGGCATAAACAAAGGCATTTACGCCAACCCAATCATTGAATTCAGTTTTCTTATGAGACTAACCAAAAAATAAAAATAAAAAATTGATGTTCACTTTCAAGTTGTAGAGTCTTATAATTTTAGGTCAATTAGTTTGTATTTTCTGCAACAATTTGAAATGTTGTATTTTTTCAAATAATAATACAATATGTATGCTAATATGGAATGGTTTAATTGATTGAGTACTCATTAATGTCTTGATAACGTTTTAATATCAAAAATAAGATTCTAAACTTTATAGTAATTTCATTTTAACCTCTCAAAGTAAATAAAATCTTAAATTTTTAGTCAAAATGTAATAAAAGTAAGGGTAAAGTATATAAATCTTAAATTTTTAGTCAAAATGTAATAAACATTAACTTGCTAACTGTGATATGATAAAATTTGATCCCAACATCTTAAACGACTATCATATCCTATTCATCATGTTAACATCCACCTAAAAAGACTGCCAATTTTTAACGAAAAATGACGAGTTTGGAATTTAAGGAATAGTTGGGTGACCATTTCGTAAAGTTTAATAGTCAAGAGACTCAACAAAACAACACTCTATAATCAGGTGATCATTTTATAACTTTTAATAATTAAGTGACTTAATAAAGCAATATGTTATAGTCGATGGACCATTTGTGTACTTTATCCTAAAAGTAATTGATTTTTGTTATACCATCCCATCAGTACATCCAACAAGTTTAAATTATGAAAATCAGTATCGAAACACCACTTTGATAAAATAAAACCACAAACAATCAATTGATATTTTAGAATGTCAAGAATTCGAATTCTTATATTAGTAATTTAAAAAAAAGGTTTATACTTCAACTATTGGATTAACCATACCATTTCCTCCTTCCCATTAGTAGAACAACACAAGTAGACCACGTGTGTTTAATGAGGCTTTCACATGCATGGCAAAACAAAAACCTCAAAAGTCAACTGCGTACTTAGACGTGTACAATGAATCATATCTATGCTCTTCCCCCAAAAAGGCTGGTTCCTTAGCCATGAGAAAGGCCCTCGATTTGCTCCGCTTACCCTGCAATTTTGTTGCCTTGTTTGCTCTACAATACTCCGACTATAAACATAAACCGACATAAGATTTTATGTTAGTGGAGATAAATGTGAACTTTTAAAATTTTGGGTGGTGAATTTGAACTTATAAAATTTTACGGAGAAAAAATAATTTTTTTCAATAAAAATACATAAAAATTTCTAAAATAAATATTAATTTTAAATTTTCATGAGAATAATTGCCCTACCCGCCCCTATATACAAGTCTAACCTAACTTCACCCTTCATTTTCAGACAATATGTGACCTTGTAGGAAATTTCAAATTAATGCTATGTGGCTGCTTAAAGTGGCAATATTATATCTAATTTATTATTATTATTAATCATGTTTTAATAGAAAATTTTATCCAAAAATAAATTTTATTTGTTAATTTTGGGTAAGTTACACATTTAGTATTTAAACTATCAATTTTAGTCTGTTTTAGTTCCTAAACTTTCACTTTTTAAAAAAAACATACTTAAAGTTTAGTTTTTGTTTCATTTTAGTGTCTTCATTTAAAACTTAATGTTAAATTTTGGAAAAAGAATTGAAATTTTAGGTACTAAAATGATCCAAAATTGATAGTTACATACTAAACACATTAAGTTTTTAACGACATTGTACTAAAATAAAACAAAAACTAAATGTTAGGCATGATTTTGAAAAAAAATGAAAGTTTAAGTACTAAAATAGGTTAAATTTGATAGTTTAGATACTAAATACGTAGTCTACCCTAATATTTTAGGGTGAAGTGTATAAATGGTCCTCTAACTATAAGATATTGCTTTTTAAGTCCTCTGACTACTAAAAGTTACAAAATAATCTACTATAGGGAGTTACTTTGTTGAGTCATTTGACTATTAAAAGTTACAAAATGGTCACTCGACTATTCATTATGTTCCAAATTTCTCATTTTTCGTTAAAAATTGATGGCAGACTGAGTTGTATGTTAAATTGTTGACTGAGATATAATAAAATATGATCTCATAATCTCAAACAACTATCATGTCTCGATCAATATGTTAACGTTCAACTCAGATGACCGTTAATTTTTTAGTGGAAAATGATGAGTTTGAATCATAATGAATAATCAAGTGATTATTTTATAACTTTTAATAGTTAAGAAACTTAATAAAGTAATAACCTATAGTCGGGGGACTATATGTTTACTTTACCTAATCTTCTATCACACACAAATTGATTTGAATAAAGAAATTTAGTCATTAAGAAACAAAGTGGGGGAGTAAATAGAAAGAAAAGTTGGGTCGTGTCTTAAGGCTTTAGTAAGAGCACGTGAACTGCCCAAACACAAATAATCTTACGAATAAAGAAATTCTCTTTTTAATCTTTCGCCTCTCTATTTCGAAAAGTATTTGAGTCACTAAAAAGACACGTAACTCTGGTGTAATAAGTTCGAACTCAAAACTTTTATCCTTTAATCACTGATCTTATTTAATTTTAAGGGTAAAATAAGTAAATAGTTTTCGATTATAGGGTATTATTTTATTAAGTCTTTCAACTATTAAAATTTACAAAATGATTCTTCGATTATAAATTATTTTCTTGAGTCTTTTGACTATTAAAAAATTACAAAATAGTCACCAACTATTCATTAGGTTCTAAATTTGTCATTTTCTGTTAAAAAATTGACAATTGTCTAAGTAGGAAGTTAAATGATTACTGAGATATGATAGTCGTTTGAAATTATGGAATCAGATATTATCATATCACAATCAATATATTAACGTTCAACTTAGAATACCGCGTTTGGAACATAATGAATAGTTAAATGACTTTTAACAATCGAGGGACAAAGCAAAACAATACTCTATGATCGGAGAACTATTTGTAATTTTTAATAATCGATGAACTTAATAAAATAATACCCTATCGTCGAGTATCATCCGTATACATTACTCTAATTTTAAATTCATTAATAATAACTTAAGACACAAAACTCATACTGGTCAACCGCCAAGACAATTAAGGAGCATGTGCCTGTACTCTATCATTGTCGAAAATACCGGTAAATTAGGACCATAATTCCTAGGGATGGTGTAACACCCCAACCCGAATCCGACCCGAATACGAGTCTGAGATGTCACATTAATTTTTAAAACCTTTTTCTTACAAAATATTAAAACATTTGAACTCATTTTAGGAAAATATCACAATATTCTATTAAATTGTGTTTCGTATAAAATTTTCAATCAAAAACGTATTTATGAACAGTAAAATACATATGAACAATACCGTATGAACAGTAATTAATAGTGATGAACATGAACTGCTACAGTACCGAATGTTAAAATTTTCCAGATTCAAAGAGGGAAACTGATTCCCCTGCTACAGGGAATCGATACCCTGCTACATTACTGCTACAGTACTTCCGTAAAATACGTATAAAACTCATAAAATTTAAAACGTTCATCATTATACATTTATCATTTACAT